AAACTCATATTTTCCAAACAACCCCTTAGATTCTATCGTATTGATCATGAATGACCGGATTATTTTCTTGACTGAATTTTGTTTGCATTCTGAATTCGTGCTTTAAGTATAGTCTAGGTAAATCAGATTTGTTGGTTGAGTCATTTGAAGTCTTAAATTAATATAAGAAGTATTAAAAAAATTTATCGTTTTTTTTTACATGGGGTAGGAGAGAAATTCTACCTTAAATGAGAGTATGAAATGTATATAGTAATTATAGTTATCACTAATCAAGCCCGCATTTGCAATTTATTCCCAATTCCATTACCAAATTAACCCAAAAAAGCATGCACTTTATCTAATGGTAGAAGGTCAGAAGGATCAGGCTCAGGATCTTTTTCTTGTTACAATTGGCCCTATGTCATCTTCCCATCCAACCCATGCCAACCAATTATTTATTTATTATAAGTTAAATAAGGCAGATATCACACATATCAATTAGTTAAGGTTTTACCTAATTAAATAGAAACAATATATAGTAATTAATAGGTACTTCTGGAATTCAGAATCTCCCCAATTAAAAATGATCCACTATTCAATGATAGTTTGGGGAGGAGGAGGCACATCTCTTTTATATTCCAGCAAATTAATGATAGTTTACTTTTTGCTAGACAACATATTTGCAACCGTTAGCAACTGAAAATTGTCAAAAAAAAAACCCCCTGAAAATAGAGTGCAAAAGTTACTAAGAAATATTTCATTTGATGCAGGAACAAAATGGTTACAATATTAGAATCACTCAAACAATGTTGCTTACGTCTTAAGGATATTTCGAAACTGAAGAAAGAGTGGCTCGAAATTAAAGATTAACTGTCGCAAACTCAAGTTTGTTTCGTAAATTGTTGGTGGTGCTTAGTAGTCACTGATGCTGGTTTATGAATAAAATGATGAAAATGGAACTAGAACTCAATTTCAATCTTTGGGCTAGGGGTCTTGGAGACAATATATTCGGTCCGATATGGGGAGAAACCACTTTCCTGATAATTGAATGATAAAGAAAATTTAGATTTGTTTAACTAAGATAGCATACACAGAAGTGCTTAGAGAATTGAGTCATCATGCGTAACGATTTTGAGATTTTTATTATTATAATGAAAAAGGGTGCAAGCATTACTATCTTATTATTACGAAATCGAATCGACAACAAAGCCGTCAACCGAATCATACAAAAGCCAATGACATTGTCAGGATCGATAATATATATTAGCGGGGTGTCCCCTCTGTACTAGACAATTGGCTAACAATGAGCATCTCTATAATTTTGTCTGATGCACACTTCTCAATCCTTGCTCCGAAAATCTCAAAAGGCTAACACTAGATTAGCATGTTGGTGACCGATCGAACTATCTAATGAGAGCATGTAAGTAGCTGTAGACTGTAGTCGAGTCGAGCTGGAGCCTGAAACTCGATTTTCTTTTCTATCCAACATCTCACACCATGTAAATTCTCTCAAGTGCGCCCCATAACTCCACATAAGTGATCGTAAATTTTTCCATTTTCATTTAGTAAGTGCCTTACTCGTCTCAAGAGTGATTATACACTGTGAGAAACATAATTATTGGGGTCTATTTGTTATTTGCGTATTATTCGGATATTGTGTTAGGGTGAGAATTATGAAGGTTTATTCGGTTAGGTTAATTATTCGGGTAGTAAACAGAAAATAGTCGGTTTATATATATGTCATGTTATGTTAGGTCAAGGGCAAACAATAATACAGAATTGTTCCCAAACTCTCTCTCTCTCTCTCTCCTCTCACCTTGGCCGAACCCTCTCCCCTCTCCTCACCGTCGGCGGCTTCCCATCCCGGGAACCCGACTCTGCCTTCTCTCTCATCCAATTCCCAATTCTTTCTCACCTAAATTCTCAATCCCTAATTCGTTCAGTCCCTAAATCGCACGCCTAAATCCCTAAATCGGACTCCGAGTACCGGCACTATGGGCCGGGTCGCCCGATGCAACCTTCAGATGGCGACAGGTATGGATACAGCAACCCACTGTATGACTATGATGATGAGCTGGTGTTCAGAGCTAAACCTCCGGTTATTGAATTTCCGAAATTTGATGGTACGGGTGATGTTGGCTTGTGGCTGTATGCGGCGGAGCGGTGGTTTATGAACCACCCGGTCAGGGCAGAAAGGAAGGCGCATCTGGCGTCCTTCTATTTGGAAGGGGATGCCCTCCAGTGGTGGGAATGGACTGAGCGAGCATATGCGGCAGCAGGCGCGGGCATCTCCTGGGCTCGGTTTCAGGAGGAGCTCCGGTACCAGTTCGGCAGAGCAGAGGGATGGCCACCGGAGCAGTTGGCCAAGCTGAAGCAGACAGGGTCCGTGACAGAGGACAGGGCCGAGTTCTTGAAACTGGGGAATCAATGCAAGGAGATGACTGAGGAGACACTGGTGGGGCTGTGCATGGCCGGGCTGCGACCAGAGCTGGCCACCGCAGTCAAGGTTTTTGAACCTGACTCTCTTCGTGTGGCTTTTAGACTTGAGGTCGGAAGGAGGAGGAGCTAGCCAGTTGGAGATCATCCGTGGGCAGGATGCAGAAGGCCAGTGGTGGAGCAAATAGCGGCGCAGGTGCTGGGATGGTGACACCGTCGGCTGCGACGTCGAGCCCACCCGCCGCAGGGGCTGCAGTCGGTACCCGATTCCCGGTTAGGGCGCCGCCGCGGTTCGTGAGACTGACTCAGGCGGAGATGGATCAGAAGCGCAGGGATGGGCGTTGTTTCAACTGTGATGAGAGGTATACCGTGGGACATCAGTGCGCCAAGGGGCACTTAATGCTGCTGGTCGGGAATTGGGAAGATGAAGGCGAGGAAATGGAGCTCGGAGCGGAAGGAGGGGAAATGAAGGAGGACGACAAGAAAGATGGCCCACCTTGAGGGCAAGGTGGGTTTCAAGGGGGATGGATTGTGAGAAACATAATTATTGGGGTCTATTTGTTATTTGCGTATTATTCGGATATTGTGTCAGGGTGGGAATTATGAGGGTTTATTCGGTTAGGTTAATTATTCGGGTAGTTAACAGAAAATAGTCGGTTTATATATATGTCATATTATGTATCCCTAAATCGCACGCCTAGATTTGTGGTTCTCACATACACATTGGGAGAAAACCCAATAACCCATCTCACCACCCTAGTCTCTCCCCAACAAACAACTACATAAGCAAAGGCCCCATCCCTATCAATTGCAATTATGGAGAATGAACGACATTTGTACTAATCAAAGAAGAGAAATCGCCAAATTAAAAGCCTGAGTTGATAGCACATAAGAGAGCCAACCAACTCCCATCATTTTAGATTACCACATACGGCTTTTTATTTAGGGAAAGATCAAGACATCGTTAGTCCACAACACAATCCAATCCTTTCTATTTTACGTTTAATTAGGTGGATCAAGCAAATAATAATGATGTAGGCGGGAAAGGGTTAATGTATATTTTCCAAATTAATTATGAGTCTAGTAACTATCACCCACAATCATCGCCAAAAACACCATCTCACATCAAGTAGTAATCATCAATGAATTAAATAATCAAATCCCACAATGATCGATCTCATACATTTCAGGAGAAGGATTAGGAGCGAAGCACAACAATCAAAAGAGGAAGCACGAGGGAAATAAAATAATATTTATTGTCCTTTGTTATCTCCAACTTTGTAAAGCAAGCGAAGCGTGGCTGGCTGTTGCCGGCTTGCATCAATGTTATCAAATCAGTTTAACAAGTGATATGGTTCGACCAAGGTAGAATCGATTCACGTTGGTTCGTGTCGATAATAATATATGTAAAAATTTAAAAGATATTATAATTTTAGTGAACAAATTACTTCGATCCCGATAACTCGAGTTATGCAAAGTATTTTCATTAAATGAACTTAAACACATATAATCTACATTTATCTTCAAATGAAAAAAACAAAATTCTAAACAAAGTAAAAATTCTCATATTTAATTAAAAGATTTAATGCTAACATCCAAACAATTATATTTGAATTCAACAAATAAATATTTAACTTTCAAATTCATGAAATAAATTAATAAATTCATTTTTATTAATTAAGTTCACTAAAACCACATCATTTAGTTTAGAGGCCGGAAATCGATGATTCGGATCATACCAGATTCAACCGGCCGACATTCCACTGTAAGGAAGTGGTTAAGTACCATACATGGGCCTGTATAAGATCCAACATGACCATCTCCCAACAACTAGAGTTATTGGGAGCAACTGGTTCATGACATGGTATCAGAGCTGGTTTGTCATTGAGGTCACGTGTTCAAGTCCTCGTGACTCCCAATATTAACCCTATGCAAAACTACAAGTCATGAGTCGGCTTTCGATTGAGGGGGCGTCTCCCATACATGAGCATGTATAAGATCCACCATAACCTTCTCCCAACAAATGGGGTTGCAGCTAGGGATGACAATTTCGACCTGACCCGTTTTAACTTTTACCCGACCTGCTCTGTAGGCGGGACGGACATGGGTACCTACCTTGACCCGCCCTACCTTGACCCGCCCCATTCCCGACCCGTTCTTGCCTAAATTACATGTAATCTTAGTTAAATTACTTCGAATTTTCCTCATATTACCCTATTGTTTAGCTATAATAAAGTTGTATAAGTGAAAACCTCAATTTTTCCAATACTTTAACTACAATACATCATATTATGGTTTATTTCTTAGTCTTTTAATAAAAATAATGAATATTTTTAAATATTTTCACATAAATCACATACTCATTGGGTCGACCTCCCTGACCCGCGCCCCATAATAAATTATCCGACCTACCACGAGGCGGGTATGGATATTGAGATACCCGGCCCAAACATGACCATGGCCATTCCTACTTGCAGCTGTACGAAACCCCACCCGCCACTGCAGCCGGGCGGGCTGTGTGTCGGCGGTGCATACTGCGTAGCAGTCGTAGAAACAACCGAAAACCCAATTTGCTTTGCGGCACTCTCCTTTTGGCTCTCTTCCATTTTGATCTTCGTAGTTCTTACTCCACTCCCCCGCACCTAAAAAAACTCTCTCACCTCATTCCCTGTCACTGACACCATCTCTGCTCCTGGAATTCATTTTCATCAATCCTATCATTCATTACCCATCGTTCCTGTTTCCCTTCCCCTTTAACCATCTGCCCTGGTTAGCTCACCCGATCTCCAACCCACGAACAAGAAAGAGCTAAAAAAAGGAGAAAGAAGAGAACTTTCCTTGTCAACCAAACTTCCCCAACTTCCCCACCTTTCGTTTTCAGCCACCGGACAACAAACCAATCATTGTTACCAAATTCCCAATTGGTGTCGAAGCCCAGAGAGAGAGAGAGAGAGAGAGAGCGGCAAGCGCCGGCGCCGGCGGACTTGGGGGGAGCTCTGCTTTTAGTTTGTTTGCTTTTCCCCGACATTGTTGGGGGGCGGTGAGGAAGAGCCGCTTCTCGTCATTGGGAGATTCCGGGGCTTTTCTCGATTTGATTGTTTGCTTGCTAAAAGGCGCTACAGTGATGTAACAGAGTCTTCAGATTGATCTTCCGTTTCTTCTGCGGAGTTCCTTTGGTAGGAGAAAGTGAGAGAGATGGAGTCTAAGATGGATCAGTATGAGATCATGGAGCAGATCGGGCGTGGCGCCTTTGGCGCTGCCATTCTAGTCAATCATAAAGCCGAGAAGAAGAAGTATGCATAATCCTCTCTCTGTCTCCCCCTCTGGTTCGTTCAGGAGATTTGCATTGTTAATTTGATTTCGGAGCCTTGATTTGCAGGTATGTGTTGAAGAAGATCCGGCTTGCTCGCCAGACGGAGCGGTGCCGGAGATCTGCTCACCAGGAAGTATGTTTCTCCTTTCTGCTCTGTCAGTTAATGCCGTTCTTTAGTTGACTAAGCTGCTGCTTTTGCTAAATCTTATGAGATGCCTGAAATTTCTTAAATGCAGATGGCGCTGATTGCACGAATTCAGCACCCTTACATTGTGGAGTTCAAGGAAGCCTGGGTTGAGAAGGTTGGTATCATTGGCCAATTGGATTCGGTTTTCTTCTGTTTAACATCACTGACAACTGAATGGAAATGTTGCCATTTTGGTAAATGTAGGGTTGCTATGTATGTATTGTCACTGGATACTGTGAAGGTGGAGACATGTAAGTGTTTGGATCGAGTAATTCGGATTCGTGTAACTTGCTCCACGAACTTATTTGCTAATGTATTGAATCGGTTGTTTCGGAATAGGGCTGAATTGATGAAGAAGAACAACGGTGTTTATTTTCCTGAGGAGGTAATTTTTTTTTGGTTTCCTGTTTGTGGTTGTCATTGCATTTAGGCTAGTCATTGGAGTAGAACTGATGGCCATTGTTGGTTGCAGAAACTTTGCAAGTGGTTCACGCAACTGCTCTTGGCTGTTGATTATCTTCATTCTAAATATGTCCTCCACCGCGACTTGAAAGTATGTGAACTAGAGTTTTGAATTATGATTTGGATGTTCTGAATGAAGCTTAAAGATGGTGACCTTAGTGATAAAAGCCTTCTTTTTGCAGTGCTCAAATATCTTTCTGACTAAAGATCAGGATGTTCGCCTCGGTAAGTCTGTTTTTATTAATGTTTGAGTGTGTCTTGGGTGCATTGTTCTTATGGTCATTTTAGTTTTGCTGATCTTGTTTTGTTCCAATTCAGGGGATTTTGGACTTGCTAAAACTTTGAAGCAAGATGACTTGGCTTCATCGGTATGTTTAAGCTTCCACCATTCTTTTCTATTCCCTATTACTTTTTGAGAATGTTGTTACACAATGTCACAATGGAGTGAAGAGCTCATGGTGTTTCTCCATTGAGTATTTCATTTGTTGCTCAAGAACAATGTCAAGCCATTTGACTGGAATATATCAGGCCTTTGGAAGGCAACCTTGTGCTTGAACTTGATCGGTTCTTATACTTTGATGAATGCATTTCCCCCTCGATTTTCTTGTGTAGTTGTGTCATACGGCGAAAGAGAATCTGACTGTTCTGTATTTCGCCAGTAATATTTGCGTTTTTATTCAGGTGGTTGGAACTCCCAATTACATGTGTCCAGAGCTACTTGCAGATATTCCATATGGCTTCAAATCAGATATTTGGTCTTTAGGTATGCTGTGTTCAAGGTCTTCAATTTTTTCCACGTTTGTCTTATATTACCTCTTGGTTAATATGGGTTTGTTAATGACCAGGATGCTGTGTATATGAGATGGCTGCTCATCGCCCTGCTTTCAAAGCTTTTGTAAGATTTTCTTTAACCTGGAAGTTCCTCTTGATATGATGACCATCACATTAAAATATTGCATGCAATTCGGTAGAACTTAGAAGCATTTTCTGCTCCATTGATTTCCATACACTTAATTTCCTGCTGTAACTGTTCTATTGCAGGATATGGCAGGGTTGATAAGCAAGATCAATCGTTCTTCAATTGGTCCTTTGCCGCCTTGCTATTCTCCATCCTTGTATGTTCTCATATAGGTTTAATATTTACATTTCCCTCCAGCAAGTCTTTATGTTTTATGCATGATTCTCTTCCTGAATTTCCCATAAGAAGCGCAAAAGAAAAAAAAAAACCGATGGGATCAATTACAGAACTCTTTTTTTTTTTAAGAATCAATTACAGAACTCACAAGTACTATCTTTGTCTCATTTTTATTGACTGTATAGGCCAGTGATCTCTAGAAAATTGGTTACAATCAGCACTTTACTCTCTACTGATTGTTTGGGACTTAATGTGGATCCATTATTCACAGGAAATCACTTATTAGATGCATGCTGAGGAAAAATCCTGAGCACCGCCCTACTGTAAGCATACCTCTCAAAAAATTTCTGCTCTGTAAGTTTTATATCCGATTGGCAACTTAACAATCCGAATACCTCTTCCTTTCAGGCATCTGAGGTCCTAAAGCATCCATACTTGCAGCCTTATGTGGAGCAGTACCGGTCATCTTTGAGTCCTCCAACTTGCTCTCTCGAGAAGCCTCCTTCAGCTGGTCGTGGTTCAAGGAGAAGCATGGCTGACAGCCAGAACAGCAACAGCTCTAGTAGTGATAGAGATAGTTACCTCTCAAGCGAGAGAAACATCTCAACTACGGGAGAGAATAAAGGTACTGACACAGATCTGGCATCTATTGATGATGATAATGACACTGAACAAACCACGCCAAGTGAAGGAGATAGCAACCATACAGTTCATACTGACAAAGTCAATGAACGGAAAGTAATGAAGGTCAACCATTATGAGGATGGACCCAATGTTGAGTCCAAGCAGCAGCCTAAGACTATTAAAAGTATTATGATGGCACTGAAAGAAGGCAAGGCTAGAGAAAATGGGTCTCCACTTAGAGGGGCTCGTGCGAAAGCTACAGGCATAATGACAACACCAAGGAATAATGCAGAATCAGTGTCGAAAATTCCTCGACCCTATGCTGTTGCTCCGAGTTTTAAGCCTAACGTAGTTGATGCATCACCTGTTGCTCAGGCAAAGTTGACATTCGATTCTATTAAGCGGATTCCAGCATCAACCCCTTCTAAACACCAGGTAGAATAATATTTTCCAGTCGCTTTGAATGGTAATTGGTATTCTCATTTCTTTAAACTGCTCATATGTTCAATCACCTCCTTTGCAGTTACCAATAATGGACACATCGCCGAAGACTAAACCCAGATACGATGGCATTCCGCCATCTGTCCCCATAAAGCTTTCTGATGATGGACTTGCTGCTAAATCTAGGCAGAGAACCCCGCCTTCCAACATTGTTCGGCGGTGTTCATTCCCTGTACGGACAAGACAAGTTGGAAATGACGCCCTAACTGAGACTGCTGCCATGACTAAGTCCCCCGAACTTACTTCTCGTGAAGTTCCCGATGAGCAGTTCATGCATTCTACTAAGGAGATCAAGCAAGAGACATTTCAGAAAGCTACAGTTGGGGTTTCGAAAGTGACTCAAACAGATGGCAGTAATTCTGTCTCATCTGTGGTTTCAGCTGAAGCATCTGAACTTTATGATGATGCAACAACTTCATTTGATGACATGCAGACACCTCCAAATCATGAGATAGAAAGAAGGCCTGGAACTTCAGATACTCCAGCATTGAGAGTCTCATCTTCATCCTCTTTCCACTCTGATGCTTCTGATAATTTATCAAATGGAGATCATGGAGAATATCCTGGACCCTTGATTTGCTCGGTTGAACCTAACAGTGTTCAGGATGCCAATGCAAATTCTTTCAATGGTTCTGGTAACATGGCATCAAGTGCAGCGCTTCATTTATCGATTCCAGTTACTGAAGGAATAACAATTCATAAGGATGATATCCCTGAAAGTCAGCCCAGTAGCAGTAGACCTGATATGTCACTTGGATCAAATGTTACTTCTCCATGTAGAGGTGATGACAAGTTTACTGTGACAGAACTTCTATCAGTTTCAGAGGCTACTACGTCGACTCTCTCACCAATTTCAGCCGCTCAAAACTATTTGCAATCAGAAAAAGGAACAACGATTTTGCAAAATCCACCAGTGGAAAGGGGTTCTGCTGCTGCTGCTGGCTGTCCTCCTTTTGATGATGTCATACATGTCATACGTCACAGCAGTTTCCGTGTTGGGAATGAGCAGCCAGTCATGGAAACTGTTGAGATGGGAGTTCAAAATATGGACGTTGGGAAGCTCTTAAATGTTGTGAGAGACGAGCTGGACATGCGAAATGTGGGGGCTCCAGTGACACTTAAATCAGCAGGAGGCTCAGAAGCCTTAAGCTTGAAATCTAGCCTGTCTACTGATGATTCCAGTTTCAAGGAAATGGATATGAAAGCTGCAGCCTCAGTAGTGAATCATGATACTTCTGAACCGGCAAAACCCACCTCCCCTGTCAAAGAAGAAGTGGCGTCACCTACTACTGCACCCAAGGAAATTCTGGACGTGAAGTCATTTAGGCAGCGAGCTGATGCACTTGAAGGGCTTTTGGAATTGTCTGCTGACTTACTACAGCAGGATAGGCTGGAGGAGCTGGCAATCGTTCTCAGGCCATTTGGAAAAGATAAGGTCTCACCAAGGGAGACTGCTATATGGCTGGCGAAGAGCCTGAAAGGGATGATGATCGACGACAGTGGCCGAAGTTCATGACTCTGTCTGCAGTGTAGTCTGCTCCTTTTTACTTTTTGTTCTACTCTGTAATGATATTTGTCCAGCCACCTTTTTTGGCACATTCAAAGTTCGATTGAATTTTGTTTTGGAGGAGAGAACAGATAGGCTCTTTTCATTTCTTTTGATCAGCCCTTGTTCTTTTTCTTGTTGTAATTCTTCTTCTCTTTGCATTTTGTTTGTACATAATGAATTATACCAAATTGCATAACTGCATCATCGTTGCCATTGGATGAATGTGGGTATATATGGAACTGTGACTTGAGTCAATATAAACTAAATAATGTCATTCATACAAAGAAAAGGAGAGGAGCTTTGTTTCTAGCTTTCATTAGTTACAGTTTCAGCTTCCATTGCATCACCTTATTCAGTTTCAATTTCCACTGCATCACCTTCACCTTGTTCAGTTTCAATTTCCACTGCATCACCTTGCTCAAGCTCCAGAATGGCGTTAAACCCGAACTCTTTTCCTGGTTTAAACAGCTTCATCAGTTCATCTGCCTTCTGGATTGTGGTCACTTTGTTCTCCTTCACTTTCACATTTTCCTGCTTCCCCAATAGCAAAGATTAAAGTCAGAACATTCCATACCAGTCCCGTGCAAAGGAGTTTAATGATCCATACACATTTACTTCTAAACCACAACACTACTTGCCTTATCTGCATAATCTGCCAGTGTTGCGCTAACTATTTCTTGAATCACGAAGTTCGTAACTCGGTCTTCCCCCAGGACCTGGATCAGGAAGTCCCTTGGCACCTGAGGCCAGTATACAATATCAGTAACCCTTTAGAATCACCAGATAGAATAACTGTCCTGTTCTCCTACTGGAACTCTGCTAATAAAATAGAGCCTCGAATTTTGACATCAAACTCACCTGGGTTGTCTTCCCTGGTTTCAGTCCAGCAACCATGCAAAACAATATTGGTAGTACGTTAAGGTTTTGGGCGGCTCAAGGGATTGTTGTAGCATAGAAAGCACAAGGAAGCAGCTTATATAAAATAAATCATATGGAAACAATATATATAGTCCTAGCATTCAAGAGAAGCAGTGAGTCTGAAATGCGCAGACTATACTATATACTGTTTAAATGGCCTGGTTAGTTGGACGTTTGCTAGCTAGCTAAAATTTTGGTGAGCTAGGTGATTCTCTCGTAAGAAGTGAAGAGTTAGCATAAGTTTTAGATAATGAGTCTTTGAATTCCTTGTCAGGCTGATCACCATACTCATAGCAACCATGGACAAAAGTGACTCTCTTTTTCATGACGACTTCATGCAATTTTGTCAGTAGATAAAAAGAAATGAGTGAGATCACAATGGAGAAAACCAATTACATAAGAAAATTGAGGGAACTATTTTGCCTGACCTCCCTTTTGTTTCCGAAATCCGGGGATTGGTGGTGAAGTGAGAGCCAGATTTCTCAATACCTTTCCGAAAACCTTTTCTGTTTCATCTCCCCCCAAATCCACTCTAACCTTTGAACAGAAATGATCATGTAATAAGAATCATTCAACATTGAAACTCCCATAAAACAAATGAATAGTGAAAGGAGCCAGAATCAGAATCTCAGAAGGCCTGCTTTTTAACCATGCATTGATACATAGAAAGAAGAAAGCTGCAAGTTGAGTAGGAGCAAACCTTAATGCTGGTTTCGTCCCTCGACTCTACAACAATCTTAGCATCTCTTACGGTTATGGCATTGTCCTTTGGCTCAGTAATCGATGTTTCCACTCCTAAATCACAGCAAACTTGGCCAATTCAACTACCAGGCAATTACACAACAGAAAATTCAACATGGAGGAAGTCAAAGGATAAACCAAAAGGCATTGCAAATAACTTGAAGCTGAGAAGTGCCCACCTGAGTCCGTAGCTGAAATAGGCCCGACTGCATTTCCAATCAATCTCCCTTTTGAAAAAAACAGCTGCCTGAAATTCAATCACTTCATTCCAGTAAAAGGTATTGCTCAATGTAACCTAGAAAACGGGTAAAGGACAAGGTTAGTTGGTTAGTTACTACCTGTTGCTGAATTGTTGGTGTTGTGTGGTATAAAGACTGAAGTTTTTGGTGCTGCTGTGGTAATGGCGGGCGAGGTTTTTGCATTCCGAAGCAGAAACCAGCTGCCCATGAAAGAAAACATACTACTTCAGTCTAATATCTTCTCCACAAGACCACAACGTACTAAAGTTTGCTCCTTGTTTAGTTGTTCAGTGTACCAGACTAACTTACAGTGGGAAATTGTTGAAGCTGCGAGGCAGAGAAAACGAACTTGGCCGCCATTTTTCTTCTTTAGTCCCCGCCTCGGTCTGAGAGATTGGGTTTCCGAATTGAGGAACTGTAACAAGAATCATCCAAAGAGAAGGCCACAGCCAGAGCAAAACGCAGCCGTCTTCCTACGTTGTTTCGTGTTTTGTCCTTCCTTAGAACTGCAAATACGACGGCGTACCGCCATTTGGTTCAAGGTAGCAGCTTTGGAGCACCATACCCATTTTCAGCAATAGCAGAGACAGAAGATTGAGCCAAAGCAAAAGATGATGGAAGTAGTAGTAGCCCCTGAAGCTTGCTTCTTCGTCTTCATCCATAAGGTATCAACGCTCTCTCTCTAATATTTGAGCTCTAAAAAATGGAGCGAACAAAGTTTTGGTAATTCTTCCTCTCTCTATTGTGGTTTAGGGTTTAAATCGAAGAACAGCAGTACCAGAAGCTGGCGTTCGGAATTTATCCTTCAAGACACCATCTTTTTACCATGGAGTGGGATGCAATAGCGCTACTGTATACATAGGAAGGTTAGCAGCACAATTCTAGCTGGGTTCTTTGATTTTCAGTTTTAACTTACTACTAGTACTACTACTTATCTTGGTCTGCTTTTTGAGAAATTCCGCAACTTTCTTTCTAGGAGAAGAACATGTAGGAGCTCTCAACCTGTTCATGCTTTGGTATCAGGTGAAGTTCATTTTTCTTGCTTGCCCTTCACTTGCTATTTTGCTACCCCGCTATTAACCCTTTTCAAGATTACATGGTTATGTTTCTGAAACATTTATTTCTCTTGGTTTCAGAAGATGTTGGGGTATCATCATCTCGAATTGGGGATTTCCGGGTCATTACTACAAGTACCGACGATTCGACTGTGATGAAGGTGAAGACAATGACCAAAACTATTATAGTGTTTTAGATGTTGTGGATGTTAGTATGTTACAGAAAGTTGGAGTCTTCTTATTGATGTTTGGTTTCCAACTTTCATGGATAGGTAAATGTAGAGGTTTCTGGCACCAAAACGAGAGCCATTTTCGATGATGTTTTCGACAGAATGGTGGAAGCTGCACAGCCGATTCCAGGCTTTCGTAGAGTGAAAGGAGGTAACATTTTTTACGCTTTGGTCTTCGTTGAATGAGAACCTGAGAAGGGCTGAAACCAAAATTGAAAGGTCAAGTTATCAGAAACAGGCTCAAAAGTTACTTGTAGCAATAATCTTTAGGCAACATCTGTACTTGTAATTCATAGTTCCAGTGCTCTGGGTCTACTGGACAATGCAGTGATCACGCCTCCAGTCTTTCTCGAGCTATCTGTTTACTTTTTTTGCTATTGTTTATCCATTGCCTCTAATGAGTGCTTAAATTTCCTTGCTTGCATTTGCTGCTGGGCCAACTACGTTGATCACTGGGGAACTGCAGGAAAAACACCAAATGTAAGTTTAAGTTTCAGCTCCTTTGGCATTCACTTTTAGTGTCGGAATATGTGTGATTGCCGATTGAAACTAATTGATGAAATGTTTCCGTGGGGCGGCAATTCCAGTACATTAAGTCACACCAGTAGTGACAGAATGACCTCATGAGTCAGTCGCTCAATGCAATACCTTGTGAAAGCAGAGTTTAACTTCATGACTTATGGGATGCTGGGAATAACCATATAATTTCTCTGTCTTGCTTGAGAATACATATGATTATGAATCGATAGAGGTAGAAAGCATGTTCACCATCCCTCCTTAGCAAACATGTATTGTTATGTTGGCAGATTCCTAGAGACATATTGCTCGAAATCCTTGGGGCTTCCAGAGTATATAAAGAAGTCATTAAGAAGGTCATAAACTCCGCCATGGCAGAGTACGTTGACAAGGTAAACCCCGATATCATCTGCAAGAGAATCTTGCTTATAGGACAAGCTCAAAGGTTCTTTCTATAGCTTCTGAAATAGCTATAGCATGTAATGTAGCCCCAGACGAATAATGCAAACACCTTGTGGCTGGTGACATGTTCTGCAGGAAGGTTTAAAAGTGGGTAAAGATCTGAGAGTTGAGCAAAGCTTTGAGGATCTTGAAGAAGCTTTCAGTCCAGGGGAGAAGTTCAGCTTCGATGCAGTTCTAAGACTTCAGTCTGGGGCCGATTGAACAGAAATCTTATTGGGAAGTGTATGTGGTTTGTATGCATGGAGAACCATACCATTTTTGCCATCTTAATCTAGAAGCCATTACTGCTCCGTATTGTTATGCAGGCTTGTTGTATTTGTTAATCGTTTTTTATTAGGTGAAATATCTTGTGAGTACCACCAAAGTATGTGAATTGAAAAATCTATACAATGTAAGTCGAATTAGAACACCTAATACCTCATAAACCGAATATTTGTATATCCATCCAAGATTTCATCCATTTAACTAACCGCGACGATAAATAAAACTATGTTCCACCACATCAACCTTGCCACTAGCATAGAGGAGAGGGTGACGATCCTCTTCCTTGAATTCCACTAGTATTTATATACAAATTTGGAACGTAGTAGTTGGTAATACTAATTCTTTTGTCTAGTAGATTAACAAAACTAATTAAGTAATCTAATAATGATTGGTAATAGACAAAATTGAATTATTGGTTGGTGTCACGGATAAAAGAATGCACAATGCCATTTTCTTACGTGGGTTTTGACTTTTTGTGAAGATTATACTAAACTGGCTCTAGTTGCCGGCCGGCCGTCGGCCGACCACTTGGCTTGTTTATTGTGCGCCGGAAAGATATGTAATCAGCAGACCATGCACGTGTTTTGCGTACTTGTCCGCAGGAGCGGAGCCAGGATTTCGAGATAGGGTGGGCCGAAAATAAATAAATGTAAATAAAAATAAAATAATTATTTTTAAAGTCTACAACATTTTTTGAGATCATTAAAATCTCTCAAAATAGCATCTGAACTAAAATTTTTAGCTATCTTCCTTTCAATATAAATAACTAAATCATTAACTAGAAACTCATCATTTATTTTCTGTTCATTCCGACATAGATAAAAAATAAATAGATCATATTGTTTGTATAAAGAGCTAAAAATTCCAAGTGAACTAAATAGAGGTTGAATTTTTCATTTGTAGCTTTGGCCCAGAACCTTGTGGGGGAGAATTAAGATAATAAAGTCTCAAAAGAAGTTAAAGCAAAAATGAGGTTGTTGTGGATTAAACCTATTTACTTTAGGCTAAAAGTTTAGCTTAGCAACCAGTAGACTACATGATTGTTATATGATACAATGTATAGGTCAAACACTACTTATCCAAATTTTATTTAAATATTCTTACAGTCCTAGGGGTCGAGACTATTCCCGGGTGGGCCGGGGCCCACCCTACTCTCTGAGTAGCTCCGCCCCTGCTTGTCCGTCGTGTTATGGAGCCAAGAGGATACCAAGGCGACGAGACCTAATACCCAAATATACGAAAAATGGTTAAGTATAAAGCCAAGAAAGTATCAAGCCGGCAAGGCAGGGCTTGGTACCAAGACATGGAAAAACATTGATACAAAAAAAAATGAAAATTGGCTAAGTATGGAGCCAAGAGGGTACCAAGGCTGCAAGGCAGGCCTGATACCCAAATATACGAAAAATGGCTAAGTATAAATCCAAGAGAGTATCAAGCCGGCAAGGTAGGGTTTGGTACCAAAACATGAAAAAACATGAATTTGGCTAAGTATGAAGTCAAAGGGGTATCCAACCGACAAGGCATGCTTGATACCAAAAGACATGAATTTGGCTAAGTATGGTGCCAACAGGGTATCAAGCCGACAAGGTAGGGCTTGGTACCATGACCTGGAATTTGGCTAAGTACTCAGCCAAAGGGTTATCAAGTCGACAAGGCAGGCTTGATACCAAAAGACATGAAAAATGGCTAGTATAGAGCCAAGAGAGTATCAAGCCGGCAAGGCGTGGCTTAGTACCAAGACATGAAAAAACATGAATTTGGCTAAGTATGGATCCAAAGGGGTATCAAGCCAACAAGACATGCTTGATACCAAAAGACATGAAAATTGGCTAAGTATGGAATCTCATGGCCAGGGGGCCATACCACCCATAGCAAGAGGGTACCAAGCCTGTTTAATTCAGTCTTGCTATGCATCATCGTGACAAAGTAGTAGTTGGTTTGGTTTGCTCCCACGTAAGGTAATTCAGTCTCCAGCCTGTTTAATTGCTATATAAGTATTTATTTGACTTCAAAATTGAATGTCTAGAAATTCAGACTATCAATTCTCCGACCTAATTTTGATTTTCCTTTCTGATAAGTAATAATTGCAAGTCAAGATGGGGATTCATACTCCTTCTTGGCGCACGTTTTAATGGCAGCAACCTATTTTGGGGACAGATAGGTCATAGGATTAAGGATGCAATTCAAGGTGGAAGGTGGAAGTTGGAAGAAAGGAGCAACCCCGTCGGTGGGAAGGTGTTTTTAGAGTACTCCTTTTTACTATAAAAAAAAAATCAGTTGGTGAGTCGAGGCTCCGAATATGTCACTGATGTAATTTTATTGCGAGCTTCGACCTGAACCGACTAACCTACACATTTATACAGATGTGTGACTGTGACATGCGTTTTTTTTTTCTCTCTCTCAAGAAAATGGGACGTTCAAGTAGCACCGTTACATGATAGTTATAATTAATCTGGACTAGGACCGCAAACTTATCATACGTCAACCAATAAGATCGTATCATCATAAACGAATATAATACGTTAATTCTAACTACGCCATCGTGATAACGTCGTTTCCGCGACTCAAAAAGCGAATGCAACAATTTGACCGATACTTGCCTCGTTTCCTATCCCTCCCCAAGTTCTTTCCCACTCTATCCATGAAGAAGAAGAAGAAAATAAAGGACGAGAGAAATGACTGTAGCAATTGCCCCAATTTAGTGGGGGAAACCACTTTTAAATTTTATCGAATCTTTTTTTTTTTTTTGATTCGTTGGAGGCCGAAGCCAAGAAAGAGTTACAATAAAGAGTGGTGCTCAGACAAAAAAGGTGAGAAGATAGGAACTTCACACCCGCAAAAAGAAAATACAATAAGTGACGAACCGCTCAAACAAAATGACTTTTGTGAGAAAACTCTAAATACCAAGAATTGACATGGAGACCAAAGGACAAAGGAAAAATCATAGAGAAAGAGTTCATGCATCCGTCGGGATGACTCTTTAAGCGTTCGTTGGATCGGGGTTTATAGCTATAGATGATTCAACCCCTTCCTCTGATAGAGCATGGTTCATCGTGTGCTTGTTGATGAAGTTGGCATTTAACACTTCTAAGTCTTGAAGGGTTATGGGGATAGATTGCTCCATACCTTTAGTATGCTTTTTCTTCTTCGTCACCAAACCCAAAATGGGTTTTTTGTTGTCGTTGTTCTTCAGTGAGATTCCCTGCTTCTGATGTTGGTTACTGCTCCGTACCTTCTTCATTCTCTCCGTTATTGACGGGCTTCCTTTGTTCGAAGTCCGAGCTTCTAGCGGTTGCACTTCGATTATGTGAATTGTAGTTCCATTTGGACCTGTAATTGTGCGAACCGGCGGGGGAACGATAGTTTGAACGGAAGAGTTAGTGGAGCTGGATGTATGGCTTGGCCCGAACTCTTCTTTGGATGTAGATGGAGCGTTGGGCCCAGACATTGTAGAGAGGCCCACAGGGTTAAGTGGAGCTTTTCCCAAAAGCCCATCAGAAATGGGTGCCGGCGCCCTCCCCTCTGTTACCGAGGGGTGCTTCTCCTTCAAAAAAATATTGTTCTTCTTCTTATCCAACTCAGTACGTAGCGTCCCTGCCATCACCATGCCGTCTTCAATTCTGTGCGCCAAGGGAAGATTTTGCTTTGATTTTTTGTCATCTGAAGACCCTCCCATACTTCGCCCAGATGATGTCGGTTGGTAGTTGTTGATTGCTTGTGAATTAAATCCCCCCTCATGCACATCGTTAATACGCCTGGCAGCTCCCTCTCTGTTCTGGATCTGGGCATCGATCGAAGCGGAAGAAGGCAGAGATTTATGGTGGCGGGATGGGGCGTCTGACACCGCAACAGTCTTCAATTGGGTTGCATGGGGATCCTTTAATGAGGCGGTTGGAGGGGTGGTTGTGTCGCTTCTAGCTGTCGGTTTCTCCGGCGGTGGCGAGGTATTGCCGGTCGAATTGGATGCCGGCGAGCGAGCAGCAGCCTTCTGCTGGTGTGATGCATTCGGACGGCGAGATGACCTTCGATTCACTTGCATCCATGGTCCATAACCGGTGAGTTCCTCGGGAGGTGTTGCCGCAGTTAAGGGAATCATCGTTGCAGCAGGGGATTGAAAGATTTGGGAGTCCACACAACGACTCTTTTCATGGCCAATCTTACCACATGAGAAGCAGATGAGGGGTATATTCTCATATAGTATCTTTTGCCATTTTCCATTTAGGAGAAATTTGAGAGCAAGTGGCTTTGACACATCTAATTCCACCGCAATTCTTGCAAATTTGCCTCGTTGTGCAGCCTCCGTGTTGTAATCGATTCGAATGGTACGCCCAAGTGAATTCCCTATGGTTTTGAGGAGATGCGAATGGTAGTATTGGACGGGGAATCCTGGGAAGCGTACCCACGCCACCACGGTCGGAGGGAGCTGTTCATCGACTCTGAATGAAGGTGTCCATTCATGGACCACCAAATAATGGTCGTGGATGATCCAAGGTCCTCCAGTGATGGCCGTTGTGAAGTCTTGAGTATTTGAGAATTTCACCATGAATCCTCCTTGATCCAAATCGACAATTTGCAGTGGTCCGGTTGGCTTCCAGAGATACTTGAGCTTTTGGCAGAGAGCGGAGTACCCAATTGAGCGACCCAACAGTCTTATCACAACTGTGTTCTGCCACGGCGAGCAAAGATGTTGATCATAGCGCTCGGACAGTTGAAAGTCTGGGGATCCTTCTCGAACTCCGACAACGACATCAGTAGGTAAGATAGTAAATTCATTTGGCGAAGCAGTCGTTGCAGCTGCTTGCCCTAATTCAACGATGCGCTTGTAAGAAATGGCAGGTCTGGGAGGAGAATGAGGCAAGGGGGTGGAGTCGCAACCAGACATCTCTGTATCAAAGATTTCTGTTGGAGCGGGACGAGTGGAAACTGGAAGTGGAGGGAAAGCAATTTCTGGTGGACGGCCAGGTGGTTGTGCGCCGGAAGCTATCGAGGAAGGGATGGGAGGATCCATCGGCCGGCGGTTGTTGAGAGTTGAGAAGGAGAGCTCCAAGTCACCCATTATTTGCTCGATTTCTGTTGGAGCGGGACGAGTGGAAACTGGAAGTGAAGAATAACTTACTTATGTTCACCATCAAAAATCCCCAAAACTAACTCATAAATGAAACCAATGATGAAGCTCCATTGTTTATCGAATCTTTTTTATTTCCTCCAAAATTGTATGCTACTTTGCTCTCATTATTTCTATACCCTTCAAATTTTCACTCTCTCCAAATTTTCAGAGCGCAACTTGCAATGGAATTTCTCGTTCTCTTGCCTCTTTCAATTCCCTGCATTTCTTTTAACTCCACGCCATGCCGCCGCGGTCCTACTTACACATGGCCCCCAATCCAACCGAATCAACAACACATTTATACAGTCTGGAGTGATGGTAGTGGGGAAACTGACAACAACAGCTAATTAAGACCGGGCGCTTGCTCGGCTCCTCAATTATTTTCTGCTTCGAGCGACGTTCATTATTAAATTTCATACCTACCTTAATCATCCTCCCAACCGAACCATCTTTCCGTTGATTGGAGTAAATAAGAGCAAGACGATCAATTCATGGTTGTCACGCCGGCCGGCGTGCCACCGGTTGTACCTGGTTCAACTGTTATCGGTCGTAAAACTGGCGTGACATCACCGGTATGACCGAGATGATCGATATATGAATCTCTAAGTAAAATGACCTTATTTTAGTAAATTTAATTATTAAAAATTATTTTATTATTTATTTTATTAGTACAAAAGTAAAATATTGATGTTGTTTGTTGGATTCAGTGGCGGACCCAGAAATTTTTCATAGGGGTGTTCTCTTTTAAAAAATAAATTATATAAAAATAAAAATAATTAATAAAAATAAAATTGTAAATATGAAAATACCTTACTTGTATAGGTTAAAAAAGTCCATGATATGTTTTCATATTCGGAAATAATTGTTGAATACATTTGGTGTCTATAGTGTTAAAAAAATTGTCTCTATATACACTGCTAGCTAGACAATCATTCACGAACTTATCGCATATTCGATTTGTAAACTTGTTCTTGATGTAACCCAAAGCTGAAAGACTCTTTCAACACTTGCCGTATAATCATAAAATCAATACAAATTAAGGGTAGTTTGAAATTAGTTTAATTGTTAGGTTTTTAAAATAATTAGAGATAGGGAATGCCATTTTACTATTACACATTGTTCAAAATCGAACAACAAATGAGTTTAGCTCGACAGAAATTAAGTTTATTAATAATAATAGTGTTCTAGATTTGAATTATTCAACCTACCACTTATATTCCTATACACAAACGACAGTAGGATAATCATTTTTTCAAATTTAAGGAGTGTCCCTCACTATCAATTATATTTTTTTGTCCATACGTAAATTACCACCGAGGGTTGGATAATCGTTTTCCCAAAATTTAGGGGTGTCCGGGGACACCCCTAAACCTCCCTGGGTCCGCCCCTGGTTGGATTCAAGTATAAATGTTTAGGTATTAACTTTAAATGTCATATTTAAATATGAGTATTTATAATTTTATTTATAATATTGACCGACACGAACCGACACAAACCAGTATGTGCCACCGGTCGAACCATTCCACTTGCTAAACCGGCATACTAGCATAAAGCGGTTTGACAACCTTGCGATCAATATACCACACCTCCCGCAGTAGCCACAGATCACATCGATCAAAAACTCCCTAAGCCTCGCGCGCAAAAAAAAAAAAAAAAATGGCGGAGCTACAGATGATCAAACTCCACACCAACAATTACTCCACCACGCCCATGATCCCCTGCCGCCGCCGCCGTACCAGCACCGTTTCGCTTCTCCGGCAGCCGCGCTTCCCACAAGATTCTTCCTCACAGTACCGTGTTGGGTTTCCCCGTTCCTCCGTTAAGTACGACGGCGCCGTCAGCCGAAGGGGACGGAGCGTGGGCGGGTTGACGGTTCGGGCGTTCGACTCAGCGCCGTCAAGTACGACCGAGACGGAAGTCGTGGTGGTGGAGCAGCCGGTGGAAGAGAACGGCACCGTCGCGAGGTTTAGGAAGGTGGCGGCGGCGGAGGAGTATACTACCGCCGACGTGGCAGCTTTTGAATTGAGGAAGGACGGTGGGTTCTGGGACAACGTCCTTCTCCAGCTCCGGCTGATGATCGCGCCGCCGTGGCAGCGGGTCCAAAACGGCAGCGTTTTGTCCATCCACTTGGCCGGCGAGGTCTCTATATATTTATTATTATTATTAATTTAATATCTCGCAACGAGATGATATCAGTCCATGCTGACGTCTATTTTTTCTTTTTTTTCCAACGTACTCAGATATCGGATGTGAAAGGGAAGTTCTTCTCGCCTGCTTTCACACTGCCGCAAATCTGCGAGAATTTCGCGAAAGCTGCGAATGATCCGCGGATTGCGGGGATTTATCTCAGGATCAGCTCCTTGGGTTGTGGATGGGGGAAAGTGGATGAAATCCGTCGCCATATAGTGGATTTCCGGAAAACAGGTTTTTTTAATTAATCTCTACTTGCTTTGATCTTTTTTTTTAATAATAGTGAAGTTTTTTTTTTTAATTAATTTAACTTCAAATTTTTGCAGGGAAATTTGTGGTGACGTACTTGTATTCCTTCCAGGAGAAGGAGTACTACCTTGGGTGCGCCTCGGACGAGCTATATGCACCTCAACTTGCTCCCTTCGGCTTATATGGCTTCGCTCTTTCCGCATCCTTTTACAGAGGTTATTTACTACTCTCGTTGAACTATTTATAACCGGATATAACGCGATTCGGTTTTCAGCTCCACGAGTCTTTATAAATTTTCTCAATTTCAGTTATGAACATTCTGATTTTCTTGACTCTTTTGATACGGTTCTATCCCGATTTGGTCAGATTATATATGGATTCAGACCAATTTTATAGATTGTGTAAAAAAAAAAAAAAATTGAACCCGTGGGCATGCAGGTATACTGGAGAAAATGGGGATGGAACCGCAGTGGGTTCGGTTCGGGAAGTACAAAAAGGCAGGGGACCAAATGGCTCGCAAGACTATCGCCGAACCACATCTCGAAGTCTTGAATAAATTGCTGGATGACAGATACGACTACTGGATGGACGTTGTTTCTTCTTCCACGGGTATAAAAAAAATTATCTTTTAAATTACCGCGGACTAATTACTTTTCCTTCATTTCTTTGAACCATTAACCAATAATAACGATGGTAACAAAAAAAAAAAAAGAAAAAAAACTGGTTGTTATATTTGTATTTATTTATCACGTGTCATAATTAATTATATCTCTGCCGAACTACCACCGACGGTCGGTCGACCACTTGTAGGGAAGAGGAGGGACGAGGTGGAGAAATTTGTTAATGAAGGGGTCTACGATATGGATAGGTTGAAGGAGGCAGGGCTGCTCACTGACGTGCTTTACGAAGACGAGGTACATACGTAATATTTTATTGAATACTATGTATTGCGATATTTTTCGATTTAGCGACTCGCGACTATGGTACTCATAGGACGTCTGTGAGAACGTGTTTTCCGTCACAATATAGCAAAATTGCTGGTCCAGTCAGTATTTGATGAATTTAACGTCTCCCTACCCTACGCATACAGGTCATGTCACGATTGAAAGCGAAAGTTGGACTCCAAAAGGATCAAGTTCTGCCAATGGTTGATTACAGGTCCTCTTAATAATACAATCTTCAGATTATTATAATCGTCTTAATTTATAACCACTCGATTAATATGATTTTATTAATGAACCCCGTAATTATTGACCTGCCAGCTGGCCCCAGCCTCCAGCTATACATATGGGCGTTTATTATTAATAAACAGTAAGATGATAATGAAATAATTTTTAATAATACTGTAATTAATTCGTGCAGGAAATATTCGGGAGTTATGAACTGGACTCTGGGCTTAAACGGCGGGAAAGACGAAATCGCCGTGATCCGAGCATGTGGATGCATTGCCGTGACATCGAGTTTCGCCAATTTCCCCGGCGACGGCGTCACTGCGGCCCGCGTGATTGAACAAATCCGCATTGTCAGAGGTAAATTGATTTTTTTTTGTTGTCATAAATGGATGCAGTGGCAACCTAATTCTTCAATCCAAACCTAATGAGTTAATAACAATAAACAATAATGTTTGCTTTTAATTATTATTTGGGCAGAGTCAAAAAAGTATAAAGGCCTGGTCCTGAGAATCGACAGCGCTGGCGGGGATTGCCTCGGATCCGATCAGTAAGAGCTTGGTTAATAAAATTACTATTTTATACACGCATTTATTTTGTTTATATTAAGACTATAATAGCTGATTTTTAATTACTAATTATGTATAATATAATATAATTATTGACAGAGTTTGGAGGGAGCTTCGACTTTTAGCGACGGAAAAACCCGTGGTAGCGTCACTCTCCGACATCGCAGCTAGCGGCGGTTACTACATCGCGATGGCAGCGAACGCCATCGTCACTGAAAAGTTGACACTAGCCGTCTCCATTGGTGTTCTTCAAGGTATGTGTGTTCTCCTTTGAAAATTGAAAATTTGGGTTTTTTTCTTCGGTAAATTTTAGAACATATTTATATGCTATATTATAATATGTGAAATATGTGATCTTATACAGGGAAAATGAGCTTTGCGGAATTGCAAAAGAGAATTGGGTACAGCAATCACGTTGTATCAAAGGGCAAATACGCTGAGTACCATACAGCCGGCCATCGAGCTTTGAGGTTAATTACATACACATGATCCTAATCTGTTCATTATCAGCAGCTATTAATTACAATGATTAAAGCATGCATTTCCTACTTGTATTTTGTATGTAGGCCGGAGGAAAAGCAACTTTTGGAGGACATCACTAAGCATTGGTACAAAATATTTCGCGAGAAGGCAGCAATTTCTCGTTCCATGAGTGTAGGTGGTTTGTACTTTTTGCAACAAAAAAATTCGAGTTACGATTTAATACGCGTATATATGGACACACATGCACGTACATGGTTACAAAATGTTTGCGTGCGTGTAGATTGAAGAGATGGAGAAGGTAGCACAGGGGAGGATCTACCATGGTTCCCATGCCGTTGAGGTCGGTCTGGTCGATGCGGTTGGCGGGATGGCTCGAGCCATCGCCATCGCCAAACACAAGGCTAATATCCCACAAGACAGGCCGGTGAGTTCTCTGTGTTTATGAAACGCGAACCAACGATTTTAAAATATGAGCTAGAGGTGGCAAATGGATTGATCCATGGATTGGTGGATCAATGGATAAAATGGATTGGTGAATCATGGATTGGATCAAGTGGATTGGTGGATTATCCATGATCCAAATGACATCCTCAACCAAGGACCAATATGTAAAATGTGAAAAGTTTAGGTACTAAAATGTCATAATGAAACATTTTAGGTACCAAAACGTAATTTTCCAATAATATTTTTCGTATAAAAAAATTAAATTTTGGGTATCAAAATGTAAAATATAAAAATTATATGTACCAAATCGTAATTTGTCATTTGGATCCATGGATCAATCCATGAATCCACCAATCCAATTAGATTTGGATCAAATGGATTGGATTAGGTGGATATTTTTAATGGGTTGGTGGATTGGATTGAGAATTGCCACCTCTAAATTCTGAGCAGATCACCTAATTACGAATTCGAATGGGTATATTGTGATGGGTACACACAGGTGAGGGTTGTGGAGCTAACCAAACCGAATTCCGGGCTGACCGAGTGGATCACTGCGCTGGGGACGGTCATGGCCGGTTTGGGCGGCACCGCGGGAGCGGTTTCCGAGAGCCCGAAATTCGGGCACCATGGGGTTGAAGCTCGGGTGGATATGTCGATGTTGAATGGGCTGGATGGAGGAGGAAGAGTTTCAGAGTTCAACCCGATTTTCACTATCATGAAGTCTTTCCTCAAGCTCGGTCTTGGAAGCATATGAACAAATTGAATGGTGTGGAACTGTTTGAAGTTTAGCCATTTAATTGGTTGCTAATAATCCAGTTTGTACTCGGAGAGCCTGGAACTAGCTAGCTAGCTAGAACGGGTGTATGTTCAAATAAACATGACTTTGTTTGTTTTTTGATGAAAAAAAAACTATTTTTTTATTTACTAGTTTATTCCATCATATATGTGTTAGGAGATTCGCTGTTTCGTGAAGTTAAAAATGAGGATTTCGTGATTTAAAGCCCCAAAAGTTTACTAAGTATTTGTGGTCTTATGGATTTAAAACAATCTTTTGTTTGTTTAGATATTTCGATCATAAATTTAAAAGTTTGAGATTTAGAACTTAGATTTCAAAATTATCTTACTACCCTTTTCTGTTTGTTTGTCATGTTTATAAGATGTACACAAACAAAGACAAGACCAATAAGCATAATGTTTCCACCAGGACAACCATAATAAACAGGGAAATTTTGTTTAACTTTAATGTAAAATAGATTCGTTACCAATTTGTTGTTCTTCATTTCATATATTTAAAATTTATGAGGGTATATGATCTCGTGATGGACTTATGATATGTTCCAAATCTCATATCAAAACTTGAAATTTACAAGTTCATGGGCTACAGATTTGGACCCTAAAAAATCCATGGCCCATATATTTGATTCCAAGAAAATGATGAAACATTTCCTATTAAATCCGTCCCTTACATCTTTAGTGTTGGGGAACAGTTGGACCCAAACTTGGCCCAATAACCATCAATCCAACTTAAAACTTACGATAAGAGACCCGACGATAAATTGGGGTCTCAGCCCACAAGACCAAACATGAGGTCCAAAAGAGAGTCCAATTCAGGTTCGACAAGAGATCAAGAAAAAGGGGGGAAAACTTTCACCCTAGACTAAAGAAGGGATGGTGTCAAGAATTCAAGCCGGGTTAAGAATTGTTTGCCAAGCGAAGGAAGATGTACAAAGACGTCAAATGTCACGAAAATGAGTCCCACTTCCACTCACTTGGCTGGCAACCCCCTGCAGGCTGCAGAGGGATGGATTCAGTTGCAAATTCATGGTTCTGTCTTGACACAATCAGGAGCCGCTGCTGCAGGGGGCTCTTTCGTTATGATCACCTCGGAAACTGCAAGGAAGCGTTCACCTACAATCTCGGGAGATGCTCTATCGTAGCAGATGAGCTTAAAGGCGCAACAGAGGGACTAAAATTGCTTGGAACAAGGGCTATCGGAAGGGCTCAGGATCTGGTGAATAAGGGGGGGGGGGGGCCTTAGTCATCAGACTAAGCCTCTCTCAACCGTTGATTACTTTTTAGATCTGACGGTGGAATAGTTTAGCAGTAGGGACGGGGGCGTTTTGGTCATTTACGTTTTATTTAAAAAAATTCGTTTTTTTTATGTTAATTTAAAAGCTGTTCGTGGAGAGGAGAGAGAATCACAAACCATTCCACCATTTTCCACCATTTTTCACGGGAGAGAGTCCTTCTTCTTCTCCGTCTCCACCATTTTTTCAGATTCGCCATTTTCGTCTACAAATTCGTCAGTTTCGTCGACGTTCTTTCTCGTCCGGCGGTTTCCATCGATAGTCGCTCTTTGTTTCAGCGGCTCCGTCGGCGGTTGTTGAGTTTCATCCTGCGGTTTCCATTTTTCCCCTTTGCGTCGAGTCGCGTCGGCGGTCTTCCTCGTCCGGCGGTTTCCATCGAGAGTCACTCACTCTCTGTTTCAGCGGCTCCGACGACGGTTGCTGAGTTTCAGCCGACATTTTTCATTTTTCCCCTTTGCGTCGGCGGTGTGTCGGGCTCAACTCGGCAAGCTTTCTTCTCGCTTCTCCGTCTGCGCCGACGCCGAAGATTCTTTGTGAAGTCGAAGACCGCTTTTGGAGTAAGTCAAAACCGCACTTCTTATTTCGGCAATTCTTTAAAACCCTAACCGATTTTGAATCTAGGTCAGAATCACATTTGTAATTGTGGGTTGATTTCTGGGTTTGTATTGTTTGAATGGGCCGGTTGGTTGTATACTTTCTGGGTTTCCTTGTATTGATTGTTTAGTAATGTTTGTGTGTTTTCATACCTCTGTTTGTACTCTTCATGGTTCATACATTTTGTGCACTTTGTTTCTCATGTTCATACAGTTTGTACACTTTGTTTCTCATGTTCATATAGTTTGTACACTTTGTGCGGTTTGTTTCTCATGTTCATACAGTTTGTACACTTTGTTTCTCATGTTCATACAGTTTGTGCACTTTGTTTCTCATTTGTACACTTTGTGCGGTTTGTACAGTTTATTACTCTGCTTCGTATGGTTTGTTGTTTTTGTTGGTTGACTTGTTTTGTTGTTGCTTTTTTGTAGCTGTTAAGTAAGGATGATAGAAGGTTCAGAGGTGGGAGGGTCAAGTACCCATGCTGCTGAAGCTAAAGTTAGTAAAACCAAGAGGAAGGGGGAGAACCTTAAGAATAAGGGGAAGGAAGTTCAGCTTTCTGATACAGGGAGAAGGAAAAGAAAGGTTGTTGCTGGAGAGAAGCAGAAGGCAGCAGTTCGTGCAAAAAGGCAGAAGCGAGCTCCGGGGGGAGGAAATGAAGCTGCTTTGAAGTATCGATGCAGCCCGAAAGAGGTTATGAGTCATGTGCTGCCTCCTTTATCTCATGGCAGGGTACAATTAATTAAGCAGTTGGGCTTGGATTTTGTCTTTTTGCTGAAGATGAAGAATCTGGACAATGAACTTCTTAAGTTCATTATTTCAAGGTGGGATGGGAAGAATAAGTGTATAAACTTGGATGATGGAAAGAAGATTTGCATTACGGAAGAGGATGTTTACAGAGTTTATGGCCTTCCACGGGGACCTAATGTTGTGTGTTTGCAGAAAACATCAAAGGTGAATTTTAACCTTGGTAAAGATTATGGTTTCAGTAAAACTGGGAAGGGGACTGTTGGTTTTGAGAATTTGAGGACTTGTATGGGAGCAGAAAAGTCTGATTCTAGGTGGGTTAATATGTATGTGCTGATGATTTTTTGCCGCCTTTTCGAATATGTTACATCGAGGACAGTGACAACAGGATACTTGACTTTTCTTTCTCAAGAAATGGTTAAGTATTTCTGTGACTATGATTGGTGCAAATATGTGTATGATCTCATTTGTGATAAGGTGACAACAAGTCAACATCATAGTTGGGCTGAGGGAGATATGCATTTCTTGCTCATTTGTTTCCTCGATAGGACAACTGTGAATGAGGAAGAGGCCAGCAACTGTGTCAGTACTTTGGTGCCAACCTGTCAGTTGTGGAGTTCGAAACATTTGAAGCAAAGGAAGACAGCAATGGAGAAGAAGTTTGGGAAGGATTTTGGTAAGGTGTTTGTTCTAAGGGATGCACCCATTTCTTCTACTTCTCGTCCGAAGATGGCTCAGAGTATTAGTGGAGATGAGAAGGGTTCTGGGATTGGAGATGAATTTCCTGATTTTGATTTGAATCTGGATGGCAAAACTGTTCAAGAGGTGAGTTTGTATGATTTTGTATGTGTTCTTTGCTTACTTTGTACAGATTGTTCATATGCTTTATGATATGTTTCTGTAGTGTTTATAATGTCTGTATACTTTGTACTGTTTGCACTGTTTGTACACTTTGTATGTTTTGATCTCATCCTTTGTACTGTCTGTATATTTTGTATCTTTTTGCACTGTTTGTACACTTTGTATGTTTTGGTCTATTACTTTGTACTGTATGTATACTTTGTACTGTTTGCACTGTTTGTACACTTTGTATGTTTTGATCTCATCCTTTGTACTGTCTGTATACTTTGTATCTTTTTGCACTGTTTGTACACTTTGTATGTTTTGGTTTCATCCTTTGTTGCACTGTTTGTACACTTTGTATGTTTTGGTCTATTACTTTGTACTGTCTGTATACTTTTTTATCTTTTTGCACTGTTTGTACATTTGTATGTTTTGGTTTATTACTTTGTACTGGTTGTATTATTTGTGTACATTCTCTAATTATGTTTGTGTTTTCTATTATTTGTTTTGTTGTAGGTTAAGTTGATTAGGAGAAGGTTACAAAGTGCATTATCTGAGTTGGAACAACAAGGTAAGCTGTATCGAAGACAGATAAATCAGTGTCACATATACCTAGCTGATATCGAGGTGCACACTGATTCTGAAGGTGTTTAACTTGTTGAGAAAGTTACAACAAATGATTCTGAAGGTGCTGAAGTTGTTGAGAAAGCCACAACAACTGATAATGTAGAGAGTGAGAGTGAAGGCGGTTATCAGAGTGGGAGTGGGAGTGGGAATGGAAGTGGGAGTGGTAGTGATGGTGATGGGAGTGATGATGGTGATCGGAGTGGTGACGATGATGATGAGAGTGATGATGGAGATAGGAGTGAGGAGGAAACTGATGAAGATGTAGCTATAGTTAAGTTGAAGAAGCCAGCTCTTGTGAGGCAGCAGCCAGCAGTGGAGAAGATTGGAAGTGCTCGCGCTCCAGCACTTCCGCAGCCGCCAGCTGAGCTCCAGAAGACTCCTGAAGTTGTGAGGCAGCAGCCAGCAGTGGAGAAGAGTGGAAGTGCTCGTGATCCAGCACTTCTGCAGCAGCCAACTGAGCTCCAGAAGACTTCTGTACTTGGGCACCAGCAGCCAGCAGTGGAGAAGATTGGAAGTGCTCGTGATCCAGCACTTCCGCAGCAGCTAGCTGAGCTCCAGAAGACTCCTGAAGTTGTGAGTCAGCAGCCAGCAGTGGAGAAGGCTGGAGTTACTCATGATACAACACTTCCGCAGCAGCCAACAATGGAGATTGTGGCCTTTGATCCAACACTTCAAAAGCAGCCAGCAGAGGATGGAGTCGTGCCAACCGCAATTTCCGAGGAGCTGCCACTTAAGGATAGTATGGAAGTTGTTTTACAGATTGCACAATCTGTGGAGGCAGGTGCTGATGGTGAGCGGGGTGACAAGCTTGCTTAGTTAATGATGGTGGTCTTTTAAATTTGTAGTACATCTTTTAAATATGCACTTTATGATTGGTTTGTATGGTTTGTACTCTTTGTCGTACTATTTGTACACATGTTGTGTGTGCACACTACTTGTGGATTGCAAACTAGATCTTATGGTTTATTAATTATCTAGTTCTCTGTCTTTATGTCTTTTGTAATGTGCTATATTGTTTCATCTTTGTTGTTTTGGTTGTGAGAAGACGAGTCAAATAGTGATGATAACGATGGGGCGGGGATTGAAGATGATTGTGATGATATTTCTAGTGATAACGCTGAAGATGAGTCAAATGGTGAAGATGACAAGAAGAATGGCGTCGAAGGTAATAGTTATGTTTGTAGTTGGTGCTGTCCTTTAGTCTCGTTTAATGCAGTTTTAATCTTTTTGTACACTTAGTTACTTTTTCTGCTGCTGTTTGTAATGTTTGTCTGTTTGTACACTTAGTTACTTTTTCTGTTGCTGTTTGTAATGTTTGTCTGTTTTGTTTGTGTTGTCT